AAGCCAGCCTTCGCCCCTCATGTTGACTACTAACTAAGTCTTGGGCAACCACGACTGTAGTAGGTTGTGACCACTGCATTCCAGGAGCTCCCCACAAGACCTGGAGATGAGCCATGGTAATCTGGTCATTGCACTTCTATAGCACTTTCTACCTTAGTGATACTCAAAGCGCTTCATACGCCAATGGCGACAGAGCTGCCATGTGGTTTAGTGTCTCGCCCTAGACTGTGGTGGGGGATTGAACCACCAACCAGAGAACAACCGCTCCACCATCTGAGTCACAAAGTTACTGTTTCCTCCCTCCAACACATCAGCTTCAAGAACTGACTTCACATTACTACATCCCTTAAACAGGCGCCTCTGTTTAAGGTTTTAATGCTGTTGCTGATCAGTGGTGCATGTACAAAAGAAAACACGGCTCCATCATCGTGCCAGCAGCTTGGTTTGAACAGCTGACCGAGGATTGTGTCTGTTCTTGTATCTGGCAGGACATTCTGGCGTACAACTGTGAGGAGTCGGCCTGCTGCTCGCTGCCCTTTCCCATCATAGCGGACAGCAAACGGGAGCTGGCAGTCGCCTTGGGCATGCTAGACCCAGATGCGAAGGACAAAGACGGCGTTCCGCTCACCGCTCGCTGTGTGAGAGCCACAAACACACAGGATCTAATTTGCCTGCAGCTTTCAAAACTTATGTCTCATCTCCCCCTCATCCCTGTAGAGGGATTTTTAGCTCAGCTGCCATCTCTCACCTCCTTTTTTTTTTTTTGTTTGTAGGTGTTTATTATTGGCCCCGACAAACGCCTGAAGCTGTCTCTGCTCTACCCGGCCACCACAGGACGCAATTTTGACGAGATCTTGCGGGTGGTGGACTCCCTCCAGCTCACAGTGGGGAAACGAGTGGCCACACCCGCCGACTGGAAGGTATGTCACGCATTTGAAAGTGACCTCAGCTGGCCACCAATCAATCCAACAGCTGACTGGACAGATAATAGGAACAAAGGAACTGACCTGTTGCCATGTAGAAAAGCCTTTTTTTCTCTGTGTGTGTGTTTGTTCTTCCAGCCCGGAGACTGTGTGATGGTCCCTCCCAGCATGTCCGAAGAGGAGGCGGCCGCTTTGTTCCCAGCTGGCATCTACACCAAAGACCTGCCCTCGGGCAAGAAGTACCTGCGCTACACACCCCAGTCATGAGCACAGGCAGGGATGATCAACACTCACTTTCAGGACTTTATACAGCAGCTCTCAGTCTTACAGGCCATGAACACTGCTGGTTTTCATTCCTAGCAGGTAGATATTTGCAGACAACTGAGCTGTAAATCAGTCAGAATGGATGGAAATGAATACCAGTGCCTTAAGATGTAGGTAGGATTATTCTAATTTAGACATTTTACAGAGATACAACAATAAAAGCTGCAAAAATCTAATTTTTTTCTAAGATGATGATGAAAAAAGTGACTGAGATGACAAAATAGATTTTTTTTAATATTCAAAGAATATAAAAATGTTTATTAATCACAGTTTGGCAGAAGCTTTTATTTTGTAGGAGTAGTAGAATCTGGGTTTAAGTATTTCTCATTATATTGTATATTTTGTAGTGCAAGAGAAATCTGTTTACAGTTAATGTAGTGAGAGGAAATTTAAAAAAAATATTGGTTTACTTAATTTAACATTTACAGGAACTATTTACGAATATTTACATTATTTAAAATGTGTAAATTTGTCTGCCATTAAATAACTTACATACAGAAATAATTAACTGCAAAAGTTTTGTCAGGACAAACTAATTCATTTCAATAAAATTCTTGTTTTTATTGAACCTACATTCTAAGAATTCACTTATTTTCAAAATAAAAGCATCATGTTTTGCTTTTTTTACTCCAAAGATATAAGATTCACAACTATTTAAAGAAAATAATAAACTAACATTTGCACTTGCCCTCTCCTGGCTTCCGGACGCCGCTCAGGATCTCCTTCATGAAGTTTGTTGGCTTTGGCTCTCCTCTCTATCATAAGTTAGTTCTGTTTGAAGTGTGAACTCAGCTGTGCAGGATTTGGCGTTCCCACCTCGGCGGGTCGACGGCATCAGCGGAAAGCTTATCAACTTTGATCTTGGGAAAAAAGGCCCGGCGACAGGCTCGTCTCTGTGAGTTTTAAGGACAGCGGAGGAGGTGATACAAACAGGACACCGGAGGGTAAAACACAGCGAAGAGGCAGAACAAAGGACGAGCAGTTTAAAAATGGATGTCACTGAGGCACACTGAATTATACATCCAAACACATTAGGCAGGAGCGACACGGAAAGGCAGCGTTTTATCGTTTGAAATATTTATTGGGAATGCATTCGAAGATGACGGTGCATGATGGCGTTTGACTCCGGAGCCACTGGCGAGTCAAACGCTGTCAGCTGCTGCTCAGCGTGAAGCAACCAACAGGTCTCATCCACAGTCATCTAAAATCCTGTTGATTTGATCTAAACAATATATGTAGAACCAACCCTCTGACAGGTAGCTCAAAATCAGAAGACTGTTTTCCTTTGGGTTGTTGAGAGAATTAATTAAAAAAAAACACACATCTGGAACATGATTCGTGTCCAGACAAGCAGCACAGGTGAAGACGTCTGCTCTCATTTCCAGCATCTTCACCGTTACGTCACAGAGAGTCACTTCTTCCAGCTCGGCCTCCTCCCACCGCCTCCGTCATCTGTGCTTCATGAGGGCCTGGTACTCCCTCTGGTGGGAGACCAGCTGCAGGAACACTTTGTACTTTCTCTCGTAGAAGCTGGGCGGGAGGAAAAAAAATAAAAAAGGAATAAAATGCAGAAAATGATCACACACACATTTGATACTGTATGTCTCAAGTTTCCCAGTCCTTTCACATCCTGGCCTTATGTACTCATTACTGGCAATCTAGTTTGACATTGCATCTTTTGTACTTTATAAGACTCTATGTCATTGTAAATACCACCAGTCTGCACCTTAGTGTACACTTTGCAGCATTTAAGGCACCTCATTGGTGTTTCTTTGACCAGCACGGTTTGAATTTGTTCCTTTATCTGTCTTGTATGTAGCATGTGTGAGCTAAGGAGATGGATGAATGAAGTATCTATCTATCTATCTATCTATCTATCTATCTATCTATCTATCTATCTATCTATCTATGCATTATATACATCATTTTGTACATCTAAAAGCAATGATATTCGTTTCATATTTTAAATAAAACCCACACAGTCTATATTTTTGGAAACTGACATTAAGCTCTGCAGCTGCAGAAGTAATTACCTTTGTCATAAAGTTGTTGAACTAATGCCCTGAACCTCACACCTTTCTATTTCTGACCCGTTTACCGTCCCATGGAGCGCCTCTCTCTCACCTCTGGACTTCGCGGTCAGGCTGAACAACTTTCCCCACTTTTGCCATTTTCCCCATCGCCTCCTGAAACAGAAATCGCAAAAGACACGTATCCCTCAATAAATCATGCTCACGCACGTCGGGTTTCAGATCAGCCGTGACCTACTTATGGCGCGAACTGGAGCCAACAGCAGCGGTTTTTTCGGTGTGGCAGAGTTTATGATTAATGCAGTGCGGGGCCGCGCTCTGCTGTCTTAAACCTACAAAATCCAGCCAGTTGTCGGCGTGCGGCTCAGAGGATCAGACACAACAACTGGCTGCCGTATTCGTGGCTGAAAATGGGTTGACAGGTGCGGCCTAGTCCAAATAATAACATCTTATTTTTAGTATATCTGGCTTAAAGGCTGCTATGAGTTCTGGCGCTGAGACACCAGGAGAGGTTGACTTGAACCGCCAAAACATTAATCCCTCCTACGTCTTAGAAAACGCACCGCACGCAAATCGGCCTCTTGTTTGGAACAAAAGCCAGCAGAGTGGTGAGCTCTGGACGTCACCGTGGTTCCACCCAGCAGATGGAGGCACTGAGTCAGTGATCCGGACCGTGTGAGGCGTCTGAAGCTTTGACCTTTAGCTGGACGACAGAATAATGACGACTGCAAACGTCACTCGACATACAAGATAGTGGTAAATATACATTTAAATATTGAGCTCAGCTGGATTTGAAATCATTTTTAAAGGTGCACATTTTTAAAGTTTGCACATTACATTCAGTTTATGACTCATGCTAGAAACCAGAACATCTTTTAGTTGAGTCATTATTTTTTAATTCTGTAAATCCCATTTCATAGCAGATTACAAACCAAATTTAAAATGTCCATCAATTTGCAAC